TTGCAAAGGCAGTGATACCGAAAGTTTTCCATGAGCACACCGCTCATATGGGTATCGTTTTGTTTGAGACTGTCTAGTTTTAGTGGGAGTCTGCTCTTTATGTATACATTATGGTTTTGAATGCTCTATTTTGTTTTGGATATGTTTTATCATGAAATTTTGTTGAGTACTCATTTTGGTTGATGGTTACACTCTGTATTATTATTATTGTTTTTTTTTTTTTGCTTGAGGCTCACTTTTGTTGGTGACCATTGGAAACAGACATGATGATTCACATTGCATGTAGTTTTTCATGCTACACTTCTATAATGGAATCTATGTCATTTAAGGGTATTGGTAAGTAAGTTGCATGATGAACTTAGTCCGTCATGAGATCTATGGCGAATGTTTCTTCAGTTCTTTATCAATATAATTAATGGACGAGATTGTTTTTGGATACCTTGTATGACTGCGTTTGTTGAGCTCATTTTGGTGTATGTATTTTATTTAACATAATGTCGCCCAAGTGGGAGATTGTTGGATTTAATTTTCTATTGTGGGCTTAATATGTAAAATTAAATATGTACAGCAGTCTAATTATAAAGTCAATTTTAAATGCGGTCTTGATTGTGAATAATTGACTATTGAGGTATCAACTAATTATAGATATTAAGTGTAGAGACCATTATATAATTCCTATTTCTTTAAAGGACCGAAATAGGAATTGTACTAACAGGAATTGTACTAACGCTACAGGTATATAAAGGTCGTGGTCCCCAGAGGAGTTGAATACGATTCAGTTTTACGTTCCTTTCGTACTGCTTCCGCTAAATAGATTCTTCAATTCTCTGGAAGGCTGCAAACCTAATTCTACACTTCAAGATCGACCAACAATGATGTCAGGTACGCAACCTTTTTTTTATTCAATCTATTTTGTTGAATCTAGTAGTTTGCATGATCTGGGTTATTATGGAATTATTTGAGATTAATTCATAACAGTTCCCACCTATGGCAACCAATTGATGCTCCTCACTATACTAACTTCATCATTAACAACAACACCCAATTCAAAACTAACCACCCAGAACAATGTATGTAGTTGCTGACCTTGTGAGTTCAACTTTGAGCTCAAATATTTATGGATGCTGAAGATCAATTGGAGAAAGCCATAGCCTGGTGCTTCTATCTCTTTCTGTTTTGCTCTTGTTGGATGCACATGATGAAAAAAATTGAGAGATGGGGATTTTGTGCTTCGAGGGCTTTCAATGTTAGTTTGCTGATTCTTTTGAATAATAAATTGAGCTTTTTATTCTTTTGGTGTAAGTTCAGGTATAAATTATATACAAAGTTGATTTTTGGGCAAATGAAATATTGCTTTCAAGTTCAAGAGGCAAATTGAACTTTATTCCTTCATACGCATCATTGTTTTTTTTTTTTAATTTATAGTATAATTTTAATTTGGCTTGACCATGTGATTTAGACGCGTTGAAGAAACCCATTTTTTGGTGTTGTTTGAACATCTCTTGTATGAGTTAGTGATGTAAATGACCCAAAAGCTCAAAATGAGGCTTTTTTTTTTTTTAATCTTGATTTGCAAGTTCAATAGCCTTTATTCTAATTTTTAAAAACTAACTATGAGATCTTAACTTATGATTTCGTTAACACATTGATCATTCTATCTAAAGTAATATTTTTTTTAACTATTTGAGAAATTAGCCGCTAAATTGTTATCAAACTAATTATGAGGTCCATAGTTTATAATTTCTGTTAACACTTTGGTCCCTTTATTTTGTACACGGAAGGACCAAAATGTTAATGACATCATAATTTAGAGACCTCGTAGTTAATTTTTGAAAATAGAGATCCTCATATATTAATGTGACAATAGTTTAGGAACCAATTAATTTCCTAATCAATATTGATAATAAGTTTCTAAAAGTTAATAACATAAAAAAGTAAAAGAAAATAAATTATAATTATAATTAAGAGCAAAAATTTTAAATAAAAATGAAAAAGCAAAAATCAACCTCACATTGCTTGAATGCATCTGTTTTTGTTATCAACCTCAAAAATCAACCTCATATTGGAATAAAGTTCACAATGCTTTTGTTATCAAAAAAAAAAAAAAAAAAAAAACACAATGCTTTTGTTATCAAAAAAAAAAAAAAAAAAAAAAGTTTCCACATTTGTTTTTAGTTTTTTTTTTCTTTAATTCTCGACTAGGGATGTTCTTATATGAAAAATTTGTTTTGCTCAGGTATGAAAAAGCTTTTGGCCGATGGTTAATTTCTAGAAATATGCTATTTCCTTCAAAGCAAATAGAGATCGCTTGAGACTAAAGTCAAATATTTAGTACTCCCCTTGTTCTCTTTATTTAGAGAAAAATTTCTAGTTTTTGGATGTTTTTGATAAAAAAAAAAAAAAAAAAAAAAAAAGTTCACATTTGTTTTTAGTTTTTTTTTCTTTAATGTCTCGACTAGGGATTGTTCTTATATGAAAAATTTGTTTGCTCAGGTATGAAAAAGCTTTTGGCCAGATGGTTAATTTCTAGAAATATGCTATTTCCTTCAAGGCAAATAGAGATCGCGAGACTAAAAGTCGAAATATTTAGTACTCCCCTTGTTCTCTTTATTTAGAGAAAATTTCTATTTTGGATGTTTTTTTATATAGAGAAATTTACTTAAAATGGAAACTTTGGGAAGGATGCAATTGTTCAAAGTCTAAAATACTCTCATTTGATTTGCGTCCTTGTGTTAATTGTGCACGGTTAGCAAAGACTGGGCATTTAATGCCCTTGTGTTTTCAAAGTAAAAGTGAACGGTTATTTTATCACAGAATTGTAAACTATTGAGAGTTAACAAATGTGCTCATACTAAAAATATATTGGACACATATCTATTTCGCTTCCAGGTGTCTAAGTCGTTTAAACGTGCTTAATTTACAAATGTGTTTTCATTTTATTATCTATGTCTATCAACATTATGTTTTACTAAAAAGGATAGTGTGTATTTGTATGGTTATGCACCCTTTTTTTTCTTTCCCTCCTTTAAATAAGGGTTTCGAAATATAGAGAGACACAACATTTGAAAACTGCCTCCATTGCATCTCTCCACAATCCTCTCATTTTTACAACCGCCGCCCTGTGCCTTCTCATTAGCATCAATCGACGACTATATATGAAATCGTTGAGCAAGAAAATGACCACGGAAGCCAGAAAATGAAAAATAACTAAACAAAAACACATATCCTCCTCAAACCTTATTTCGAAAAAGAACAAATTAGGGAAAAAAATCTACAAAATCTCCCTCTGGTCTGATGGGTGAAAAGAAAAAAATACGCAATGAAAATAAAAGAGAGCCCTCAAAGAAGGTTGTCCACAAATGTCAACATACGCCACTGCAAAAAAAACCCTCCACATAAAAAGAGAAAAGTGATTGAGGAAGATGTTGAGTCTACAGGAGAGGAAGAGAAACGAACTGAGTCTGCGATAGAAAAAAAAGGGTGTAGTGATGATGGCTAAAGAACCGATTATCATGCAATGTCTAAGAAGAATTTCTTTTATCCTTTCATCTGAGAATTGAACTCTTTTTCTTCCCATATTCCATGGATTTTTCATGGCACTGGAGTTATTCTCTGGATAAAGTTTTTCATTTGCCAAATTTTATAAACTTCCTTCACAGAAATATTGAATATGACCGCAACTTTTTCATAACTGCGCTTATTTTACATTACCTTATTGCATCTCAGCTAAAAGCGTGGTGGTTATAGATTTTTTAACGTCATTAGCAATGTATTTCTTCTTTTTTCTGTTTTTCCTGCTATCTGAAACAATATTTTGGGATTAACTACTGTCAGCAACAACCACAACACCTTCTTGGTCTTCAGGTAAATAGTTCAAGTCTGGCAGTTGAAAAGTGGTGAGCGTATCTTCAGAATGTATGCCCAAATCTGTTGGGATGTCACTGAGATTAAATAAAAATGATAGATTCATAAGGTATGAAAAATTATTGCCCTTATTTTTAAAAACTCTATGAATGTAATTACATATTCTAAGTTTAGTTGAAATTTATATATAAGCATATTGTAGAAGTTGAGGAGACCGTTGGTTTAACCAAAAATTTTGGCTCCAAATTTTCGTTGAATTTGGATGCATATTATTGAAAACCTTAAGTAATGAATATAAGTGCGGAAAAATCAAAATTTCAAATTGTCAAATTTGAAAATTTTGAATTCTCAAAATAATTAGAGCATTTTCTTAAATATTCCCTCAATTTCAGACATTAATTGTCGAATAAATGTACTCTTGGGACTCTCTCTGTGAGTTGGCTCCATCAAATCAAAAAAACAATTAAGGCAAATTAGGGATAGATTAGGTAGAAAATGGAAAAAAATTTTTCGTTTAACTTCCACCTCAATTCCCGTGCATTTTTTATTTTCTCTAAATAAAGAGAACAGATTGAGTAATAAACTAGTTTTCATAAACTTGTTTGATGTTATTGCAGTCCTTGTATATGTTTGTACTTAGATATTTTGTATATAATTTTCTATTAATTTTTTTGTTATGATCTATTTATGTTACTACAATTCTAAGAGGTTTTGTTTTCTTGACTACTCTCATTATTAATTATGAAATAAGTCTTCTTTATTTCAAAAAAAAAAATTTAAATGTTGTTTCGTTTAAGAACTTTTTTTTTTATTTTAAAAAAAATTTCTTATTGAATTTAAATATTATTCATTTATTATCATTACAATAAATTACAAAGTTTATTCCAATTGAGTTAAAATATTTGTTCTTTATTTAATATTTGGATTCATATTTACAGTTAACAAATAATTATTGATTTCATCTAATTATAATTTAAATTTGTACCTCAATTTTTAACTTAATATTAATAAAAATTATTTATTTAATGAACAATCATAAATATTATTATTAAAAAAATAATTATTAACATATTTAAATTTAAAAATTTTACAGACAGTTTGAAATATTTAAAAATGAATAGCAAGCAAATGGGACGGGGGAGTGTAAAGTAATCTGGGGCACATTTGCTGCAGCACAGCGCAGGGCTTCAAGTCCAGAAGCCAAACGCAACCCTAACAATCTTTTCAGGCCAATTACGCTAGGCCAATTTTCTCTTCCCTCCTTCAGCAAACACAGACTTTAGCCTTAGCGGTTGGCAATAGTGATGGTCCTCCAATGACCACGTTCACCATCTCTCCAACTCCAGAAGCTCTTTTCTTTCCTCAGATCTCCATAACCTACAAATCACCCATTACTTTCCCTCTCCTTCATGAACCCAAATCACCACCGCAATCGAAATGCTTAAACCCCTTATCAAGTCCCCATCATTTCTAAAAACCGCCCTCCATTGTCTCTTCTTCTCTTCAAAACCTAATTACCCAACCGCCAAAACCCATTTGTCCAATTTAATATCTAAAGTACTTGACCTTTTATCGGCTGATCCCCAGTGGCCTAGAAATCCTGAATTCAATCGCTTAGCTTCTGCCCTCAAGCCTCATCATGTTTCAAAAATTATCAGTACGCATAAGAATACAGACACTGCCCTTCAGTTCTTTTATTGGATTTCTAGGAGGCATTTTTACAAACATGATATGGTTTGTTTTGTTTCAATGCTAAATAGGCTTGTGAGAGATCGAACCTTTGCTCCTGCTGATCATGTTAGGATTTTGATGATTAAAGCTTGTAGAAATGAGGAAGAACTTAAAAGGGTAGTTGAGTATTTGAATGGACTTAGTTGTAATGGTGTTTTTGAGTTTAGTTTGTACAGTTTCAATACTCTTCTGATTCAGTTGGGCAAGTTTGACATGGTTACTTTAGCTCAAAATGTGTATATTCGAATTTTGAGTAGTGAGGTTAAGCCTAGTTTATTGACATTTAATACTATGATTAATATTTTGTGTAAGAAAGGAAAAGTTCAGGAGGCTATGTTGGTTTTAAATAAGCTTTTTCAGTTTGATATATTCCCTGATGCCTTCACATATACTTCGTTGATTCTTGGTCACTGTAGGAATCGTAATTTGGATAAAGCTTTTGAGATTTTTGATAGAATGCTTAAGGATGGTTGCGATCCTAATTCAGTCACATATTCAACTCTCATCAATGGGTTGTGCAATGAAGGAAGGATTAGTGATGCAATGGATATGCTTGAAGAAATGATTAAGAAAGGGATTGAACCAACTGTGTATACATATACAGTGCCAATTAGTATTTTGTGTGAAGTCGGGCGTGTGGACGAGGCTATTTGTCTTGTCAGAAGTATGAGAAACAGAGGTTGTAGGCCAAATGTGCAAACATATACGGCGCTTATTAGTGGGTTGTTTCATGCAAGAAAAGTGGAAGTGGCAATAGGGTTGTATCACAAAATGCTTAGGGAAGGTTTTTTTCCAAGCACAGTTACATATAATGCATTGATAAATGGATTTTATATGGAAGGGAGATTTGGCAATGCTTTGAAGATATTTTATTGGATGGAGGGACTTGGTACCTTGGCAAGTGTACAAACATACAATCAGATTATAAAGGTGCTGTTTGCAGTGGATAATATTGAGAAGCCAATATTTATTTTCAATAAAATGCTCAAGGATGGCCCGTCTCCAACTGTGGCAACATACAATACACTCATTGTTGAAAACCTCAAACGAGGATATCATAACAATGCTATGAGATATTTTGAGATGATGAAGGAAAGTGGCTGTGAACCTGATGAGATGACTTACTGTGAACTTATTTCAGGTCTTTGCAAGGGGGGGAAATTGGATTCTGCAACTGGTATTTTCCGTGAGATGCTTGAACGTGACAAAAGCCCAAACCAGTGGACTTATACAGCCATGATTGATGGCTACTGTAAGGAGGGAAAGATGGATGTTGCCTTGTCATTGTTTGAAAGGATGAAAGAAAATGGTTGTTCTCCTGGAGTTGAAACTTATAATGCCATTATAAGTGGTTTTTCTAGAGATAATAGATATTCGGAGGCTGAGAAATTTCGTGATAAGATGACACAAGAAGGATTGTTACCAAACACAATCACTTACACGTGTTTGATTGATGGACTCTGTAGGAATGGTGGGACCAATCTGGCATTCAAGATTTTGCATGAAATGGAAAAGAACAATTGTTTACCAAATGTGCAAACTTATACTTCTCTTATTTATGGTTTATGTCAAGAAGGCGAGGCGGATGATGCAGAGGGATTACTTCAAGAAATGGAGAAAAAGAAATTGGTCCCAGATGTGGTCACATTTACTGCACTTATTGATGGTTTTGTGTTGCTTGGTAGGCTAGATCATGCATTCACACTTCTCCGGCGGATGATTGATATGGGATGCGAACCAAACTATCGAACTTACAATGTATTGTTGAAAGGGTTGAGGGAAGAATGCCAAGAAAGAGTTGTGGCCCAAAATGAGATAGTTTATGGGTGCAGCTTAGATGAGATGCTTAATATTTTTGAATTGATTTGTAATCTCTTATTAAGGTTGGCAGAGAATGGATTTGAAATTACTTTCAATACGTATAGTACTATAGTCAGTGGCTTGTGTAGAGAAGGCAAGTCTTACGAGGCAAGTCAGCTGGTAGAAAATATGAAGGAGAGAGGCTTATCTCCTAATACAGAAATCTACTGCTCGCTTTTACTTGCTCACTGTAAGAAGTTAGAAGTGGATCCTGCTTTAGAAATATTCAATTCACTGGCAGTAACAGAGTTCAAGCATGCTCTGTATATCTATAAAGTGATCATTTGTGCACTTTGCAGAGTAAATCGAGTGGAAGAAGCTCAGAGCATATTTCAAAGATTGCTTGAGAAAAAATGGAATAGCGATATAATTGTTTGGGCAGTTTTGGTTGATGGGTTATTGCAGGAAGGGCAGTCAGATGTATGCATGAAGTTTCTCTCTCTCATGGAATCTAGAAACTGTACTCCCAGTCTGCATACTTACGAAATCTTAGCAAGAGAACTATCAAAAGCTGGAAAGTCATTAGAAACTGATAAAATCTGTTATGAATTGAAAGAGTTAAGCTTCCCTTCATAATATACCAATGTTGATGTGTGGCTTTGTCTGTGGAATGCACCCTGGAAATATATTTGCTGGGATGACAATTTTTCTGTCCCTGTATATAATTTTTTTTGAGCACTCGTTACTTTCCAGCTCCATTCTTCAATAAAGGTAAGCATTTGAAGTTGTTTAACCATGATCTACATTCACACCTTTTACATTCTCCGTTGAATTCTGCATGTTTCTTTCTTTTTGTAATGCCAGAAGCTACACCCATTTTTCATTGATGTGGAATTGCATAATGTGACAGGATGAAGAAGCTTATGTTGTATCATCAGAAGATGCTGATCATTTCAGGTAAAAGAATAAGAAATTTTCTCTCCCTATCTTTTTTCTAATATAAAGTGGGCAAAAAATTGAGAAGAGTGGTTAAAGCCAATTGGCAAATTTGGCACATTTTTGTATATCTCAAACTTCACTGGCTGCATATCTGTCACTAATCTTTGCTTGCTAGTTTGTGGTCTTTGGGTTACATTGATTTTGCTCGTGTCCTCATTAATTAACATTTTGTCAACAGTTATATGATTAACAGTTATGTGATTGATGAGAGATAATATTGATTGTAGATGGATAAATTAGTCTGTATTTAAGGAGTTTGCTTTTGGAATTTATGAGATGCTGATAAATGTCCAGTCTAAAATTTTCTTTTTCCATAGCAAAGGAATGTTGAGGAGAGTTTACATTTTCATTTTGTTATTCAATAGTTCTTTACAGCATAAATACTGGCCTTTTTTTCCCTATTTTTCCTCTCATGATGAGATATTTCAACAGTGTATTGCCAACTATCCATGATGAGAGGGGATCCTTTATGCCAATGTGCTTGGTGTTCTAAAACACTCTAGGGCATAACTTCTGTGCAGAGTAAGCTATATGATTCATAGCATGACTTATCTTTGAGAACATTTATTGTTTTCATGGATACAATTCATTTGCAATTACTGTTTTAGTTACCATAAGAGTATGATGACTGGATGAAGATTTTCATATAAAAGAAAAATGTATTGGAGAGAGGAAAGAAGATCATAGATTTTAATAAGTGAGACTGAAGAAGATAAAGATAGGAAAAGAAGATCATAAATTATAACAAGGACAATAGAGGATATATTTAAGTGAGACTGGAGAAGATAAAAATTGAAAAGGCCAACCCCTCTGATCAAAATGGACATAGAAAGCCCTGAAGGCCTGGGGTAGACCAGAAGGAAAAAAAATGGAAAACTGGATGTTCATAAAGATACTTCCCAAAATTTGCCTTTTGGTATTCTGCAGGACTGAAAAATAGAAGGATTAGGAAATATAGTCTTAAAACCATACAAGAGAATCTGGCATTTTCTTATAGATTTGGAAGTTCAATTTCTCTATCTACCATTTTTTCCATCATCGCTGGGTTGTGCACCACTTCTATGACCACTGCCATTGCTGCAGCTGTCATTCTACCACCTTCATTTTGTATCACTCCATGCAACTGCATAATCTCTATCGTAGTCGGATCTCCTTGTCATTACCGGTGTATCATGATATCCTCACAATAAAATTACCGCTGCCACAATTCCCAGAATCAACATTGCCACCTTGCGTTGCTGTTACCACTATATTATCATTACCACAATGCTCTCATTTGTTCATGTCGAAAGCTATCAACATGCAATATTTAATCTTTCCACTGCTAGGAGTCTAGGACCACTATTCTGTCACAGTGCGGTACTCTATTTTATAAAACCTTCATTCCTGGTGTCTGTATTAATATTCCAATGCTGATGTCTCATAATTACTGTTTCCATGTATATACATTTGCCTTAAGCACTACCATCACTCTGTTTTATTGATACACACCATAGCTATTGTAACCTTAAGCATTCCTGAACTTGCATTAATCAATATAATAATCCAATCACACCAAAAATGTACATGTTGTTCTTACTTCTGGAATTGTTTGCCGTTAGTGATGAATCGCAGAATGCAAAGACTTCCTTGGTGACACTTGATGTGGTTTTATTGTCTATTACAGTACCCAATTCTTCAGAAACAATACTATTAGTTCTATTGAGTCAGACTTGGAAGTTTGAAATTTTAGTGGAGGGAGACCTTGACACAGCATGGAATCACTATGCCATCTCGGGCTTGCACTAATGTGTCAAGCTCATAATAACTTCTGCGGCTAGGGAGGTTGGTGTCTTGCAGAATCAATTTACCAGAAGTAGCCAGAAGTGTTTTAGAGTCCCATTTGGAAATTTAGAAGTCTCACTTATTGGGCGGGAGATCCACATATCTTGCAAATCTGGGTCTTTGGGTATATGATGATTATGCTCATGACATGTAATAGATGGGTTTGTCCATGAGCAGATGCTTTGGTTGTGAACTGTTTGAGACAAGCACTGGCTCTAAAATGTGTTCCAGTTGCTATCATGATCAAAGTGAATAAAAAAAATTCATGAAAATTTGCAATATATTTTGTGTGCTCTTTGCAGACCTCGCTGTTGTCTACACATTAGCCCTAGAATTTCAAATTCTTCAATTAGGAGCTTGGCTCGAAAATCAACGAGCCTGCAAATTTTAGGCTCGAGTTCAATTCGAAAAATTTTGAGCTCGGGCTCGGCTCGAGGTTAGATGCTTGAGTAAATCTAAAATAGATATTATATATATGTATATCTAAAAACTTGATAAGGCTCGACAAACTTTCAAGCTGAAAATCATTAGACTTGAGCTCGGCTCATTTAATAAACGAGTCAGCTCAAGCTCGGGCTCGGGCTCGATTCTAGCTGAACCTTTTTGAAATTTTTCCGAGTCGAGCTCAAATAGCTCGCGAGCCGGCTCTTTTCATTTACACCCCTAGCGTTTTGTATATTTTGGTGGATCACAAGGGGTAGAAGGGAAGAGATTGTGTAAGCATGGGTTTGTAACTCTCTGTCTTGCCTTGTTAATTTTTGGTTCATATCATAGATTATAAACATGATAGATGAAAATCAATTTGAAATATAAGAAGGAAATAAGAATTTCACTTGCGTGGCCCATTTTTTTTCTTGGCAGGAATCAGCATTACATCTGGATGTAGCAAAGGCCTGGATTTTAACTTAAAGACTCTCTGTGATTGCAATACTAAGGTACTAACATGAGGGAATATAAACTCATTTTGATCTGATTTACTTCAATTGATTGTAAACCGGCAACTGTAATAATCAATAAGTGTTCATTAAATCTATTTATTGATGGCCTCAATTGAAAGGCGACATGCACATCATAAAACTTGTGGTAGCTATGAGAAAATCATATTTGATATTTCTATCACATAGTTGACAAGTGACATTTGATTATAGGATTTAACATTACATGATTTTTCTTGGCAGTTTCTCTTCCAGACTTGCCCATCCAATAGTATGGCAGATTGATTTTTGTACCAATGCTTCCTGTAGCAGACTTTAGTTTCTGTTTTTTAATTGTTGGAAGAGTAGTTTTTTGAAATGTCAGAGCAGATGGAGGAGGAATGCATCTAATAGAGAGACATGTTTACCTTAACATTTGTTTCATGGAAAAGATCACTGTTGAGGTAAATCCCAGAAGACAAATAGCTTCAAATTTTAACAGCAAGGAACATCTGGGATTCTTGGAATAGTATACCATACTAGAATGATAGATTTGTGACTGGGTAGTTGTTTACTTGAGAATGATAGAAATATCAAAGAAGGTATTTTGCATATTCTACAGGAAAAGCTGCAAACAAGTTGAGCAACTAAGAGACATGCATATCAATGTGCATTTGCATGATTTTGATGTTAACTGCTCTTTATATTGGCCAGGACAGGTTAAAGTTATAAAATCCAGAGAAGCTAATTGATCTCAATTTGTGTACAAATAATTCATTTTGGACCACCCTGCCCAAAATGCTGCCCTTGCATGGTGCAAACTGGGCAGAGGACTAAAGGCACCAAAGCTCTCTCACATGTATAGCAGTCAAATGACTAACAAACGGGAGAGGACCACCAGTGAAACAATCGGTCCCCAGCATCCTATGTAAAAATTGACACTTTTTGTTTTTTAGTGGTAATATGAGTTGCACGAAGAGAAGTATAAAATTTTCTTTTGGGTTAAATTATGAGAAAAGGGAATCACTTTTTTAAGTAACATTTACACAAAAGCATCTTAAATTCCGGCAAAGTACTTTAAACTCAATGATTGTGTGTCAAACATAAAAATCCAAATTGTTATTGTCGTATAATGAAGCTGTCTATAATCTATATGCGAATCAAGTGCTAATCCTGCGAATCAAGTGCTAATCCTTTTCAATATAATGAACACCAACTTCACAATAAGAACAAGTGAAGAAAGGTAAGGTTTTGAATCTGTAGAAGATCTTCTCAATATGCAAATTAGGGCAGAGTTGAAGGGTCAAAATGGATGGACTCATTTGGCTGGTGGGTATGCTTCTACTTCTTCAAACAAGTAATGAGAAGAGTGGGGTCTAATCCAAAAATTCTTTTCTATGCTTTGTCGTTTTTGTAGTCACTCAAACCACTAAACTCCATTCAAAGGCAAAAAGAATAGGGAGAGAGAGACTAAAGAGAGAGTTGAAATTGAGAAAATAGTAATAATATGCTTACAAATGAAAAAATGCACATAATTTTCTCTCCCCATGTTTTAAAACACTATCCGACACTGCATTACCTAACCATTTTATTCTCTTCAAATATGCTTCCAAATACTGATTCCCAATCTCATTTTGTCCTCTCTTTCTCACACTCTTCTTCTCTTAAAGAAAGTCCCTTTGCCTTCACATCCACCAACCCAACCTCTCTTAGACTAGCCTTGTCCCTTTTCATCTTGGCCTTTTCCTACTCTTTACCCGATTCTCAATTTATATTGCATCATCTATCTTGTAGTGATAAATTTTTTATGTACACGTATATTAAATTTCTGCATTCGAATCCGTCCTGTCAGAATTTTAACTCGTTGTTAACAATTTATCCTCCTTAATTAAAACTTTATCCCATTATTAATATAAATTTATGGGTTCGCTCCCGATTTTAATTACAATTAGGGAAAAATTATTTGTTTATATTTAAAACATATGAAATTTATGTCATTTCAAAACAAATTTTAATAAAGTTAACCTTGGAGTTGTATTATATTACATCAGCTTCGAATAAATCATTAAAAAAATGAAAATTACGTTAAAAAAACATTAAATAGCTAACAACTTTTCTCTCTCTCTATAAATATGTTATAGGTATCCGACATAAGCCCTTAAACCCAACTATAGCCAAACAAATATATTAATAAATAAGGTCCTCTCTCCAATGGGTAGGCAAAATGGTGAAGCAAGTGTGGCTAGTTCCTCCATTGCACTTCTGCAAGAAAGGTTTAGAGAACTTCAAAGAATAAGAGAAAAGAGACAAGAAAAAGAACTGCTTAAGCGATTTTCATCATCAGAATCTGAGACTAGTACTAGTATTTCTCCATCCATGCATTTTGATCATTCAAGTAAGTTGACCTTCCAACCTGATCACATGATCCTTCCAAACAATAGGGCACCTGCCCTTCAAGATTCTCTACTCTCCCTTACACTTAACTCACAATCCAATCACAATCATCCAAATTTCAGAGCCACCCCTACAAGTTTATGGCCTAATAATACTGCCACTGGAAGCTCATCAAGGAGCTTTGAAAATTCTGATGTTGATACCTCTCTTCATCTTTAGATATATGTATGGCTAATTTCCTGTAATTTTGCGTTTATATATTATTTATATATATGTATAAACATATTTGTATGGTGTTCTTAATTTTGTCATGTATAATCTTTTTGGCTGTAAAAAATTGGAAGAGTAATGTAATCATATATATGTTTAATGTTTGTTCACATATTGATGAACAGATAATTTCTACTCATCATTTTCTCATATATTTTTATTTTGGCTTATAATTAACTAATGGGTTTTAACTTTTAAGTCAAAGGGTCTCCATTTCTATCTTTTCTTGGTATGAGTAAATTCTTGAAAATCAATTCAAGGAGCTATAAATCAAGATTCAATGGTGTATATACGAGTATCCTTCAAAAATATTACAATAGGTTACAAGAATCATTGCGATGGAGTGATTAACTTAATCAAGTCCCTTTCGGTACTGAAGAAGGGATTCGAATTTGCATCTACTGTATCTCCTCCTCAATGGGCGAGTGCAAATTAAGGAAGTCTTTTAATTTATTTCTTCGCCATCCAATAAATATTTGATATTTTCTATTGAAGGGCTTAGCCCTTATTAATATATTTATTATTTATATTTATTGAGATGGTAGGTTGTTGGGTTCCAATATATTAATTGGAAGCTTGTAAGGTGTTTTTGCATGTATAGTGCGGTGGGTATTGAGATTCTGCTGGATCTACCTTGTTGTCTCTTGCTTTTTCTATTTTGGTTCTTTTTGCTTGTTTGTTGGAGAAGAATTCTTATTGCTTGTAATTAAGCACATGGATCCATTACAATTTTGCAAAGCAAATTTCAGGTTAGAAATTAACCTAATCTTATTTTATTTATAATAATTAATAATTAATAACAAACTAAATCTTCCTAGTCTTATATTTTGAAAAATCTAAACTTAAATCTTAATTAATAAAGTGAGAACTTTATGGTTTAATTTCATAATTCGAACTTTCAATGACATTATTTTTCATAAGTGATATCTTTGTAAAGTTGATAATTATTTTTCTCTATTCTATTTTTGGTATAAGAATAATATTGTTTTCCTTATTTCCAAATGCAAGAATGAATAGCCAAAATGGATTAATTTAAAAAAAAAAAAAAAAAAGAGATTAATTAGTTTGTGATCATCGATGAGCACAAAGAATTAGACTTGGATTGAGTATAGATTCTTCGGCCAAATTGTCTCACTTAAACCAATTCTAAAGCCCCCTTCCTCATTTGCTAGATATAGTATTTTAGCTAAAATAAAAAATTTAAAGGTTTAATAATTTACAAATAAAAGTTTAATTGCAAATGTAAGGACAATGCCATTAATTTTGATGTTAGAAGAAACTAGGACTTCTAAGACAAAGATAATGGAAATGAACTTTTCAATAGGAAAATTGTCCATAAATGGAATGATGAAGTTGGAAAAATTAGGGAGAAGATAGACTTAAGAAAGCTTGGAACTTCATGTTATGTCCCAACACCCTCAAATGGCAATAAGTTTCATTATCTCACTTGTAAAAAGAATATGTTCATGTAATGTAGATTATGGCAATTGTCTAGTATGTCATGTAATCATACCATTGATTGTATATACTATACGAGGGAAGACTTGCTTGATCATAAAAAGTTATGAGCTGACATACAACTATGGTCTAAAACCTTCGAATGTAAGACATGTGGCATGCTGTTAGACAAAAGAAAGTAAAAATGAAGCATGTCGAGAAATTACATGTGGGTTCCAAACGCACTAATATGAGTAGAAAGGGAATGTTGATGAGGTGCCAAAACTGCTTGAAATATGACAAAATAGAAGAGAATGTCCTAAAATAGAATAATTTGTTGCTCGTAGAGATCTTAAATCTACAAGTATGAGATAAATGTTGTGGCACATATGTTATTTCAGCTGATTGAATTTTAGAAATCCTTATTTTCTTTATTGCAGCGAATGATTGGAAGACTAAGAAAGACATATGACTCTACACTGGTACCAGAGATTTACACATCACATGAAAGAGTAGCCCCACTAATCACGGTTTCAACGAAGCAAATGCATCAAGTAAGAAAAGGCTATGGTGTTAAGATCTTTCTAATGAAAATATTTATGTTAGGTGATCATGTTTGTTATGAATGTACGAAGATGAGTATCAGGAAGAGAAAATAACCATAAAATAAGGCTACTCAGAATTATCACAAAAAGATCAACTTTCTATTTTCTACTGATAGCTTCTGCAATTCCATCTTCAAATGTTTCATCGTCTTTTTCTGCTTCAGAACCTTCAATGTACTTTGCTTTAATTGCCTTCCATTCATTTCTTTGCTCCTCTTATCTTTTGTAGCTCAATTTTCATGCCTTCTAATAACCTTCTATAGATTGCATTCATAATTCTCTTAGGGGACTTACCATCATACCACATAAAAAAGTTGAAACCGCCATTGTTTCTCATTAACATAGTTGAGGTTAATCATAATAAACAGCACAAACGCATAGGAGATGCAAGTCTTTTTTTTCTTTATTTACCTTCCAATTTGGGCAACAATAGAACCTTCTACCAAAATTGGTTCTACTGCAAGAGAAGTACAAACGAGCTGAAATGCAATTATAATATAAGTTTGAAATTAGATGTTCAGTGGTTAGATTAAAAAATACGGTGGAGATCATTATAAAACGCAAGTTTAGGATATTTTAAATTAATTAAGATTAACAGTAAATTTAATAATTCGATATTATTTAACAAAAAAAATTGAACCGACAATTCAAAATAAAAATTAATTTTTGAAAATTCAAGTATGTAAAATGAAAAAGTAATTAACGTGAAGTTAGTGAATATTCATCTAAATGGGTTAGAAGTCTATATTTCTAATCGGTGTATAAGTTTATATTTCTAGAGATGCACCTATATATAGGCTAAGTCATTAAAAATACCTCAAATTTTAGGGGTAATTTTAATTATACATAAATCCAATTTTCTTCTCCTTATACTCTGAATTTTAATTTTATTTATAATAACATTCTAATTTCAAATTGTACTTAATTTAATGAATAAAATATTATTTTTATAGGACCCAATTTCACTTATTCTCCCCAATTAAACTCATTCCCACCACCACTATTTATAAATAAATAAGTATTTGTATTTATTTATATAATATTAGAATAAAACATATTCTATTCATCTTGAAAATAAAAAAAAGTTTTATTTATTTATATAATATTGACAATAATTAATGATTTTCTAAAAATAAAATGACGCTATAATGAATAAAATCTATTCTTATAAGAGATTTAACGTGATCCATATTTAAAAAATGGCAAAACAAAAATTTAAACTAATATTTTATATTTATAACTAACTAAAATTTATTACTTTACTTAGCTTTTTATGAATTTAAATTCCTAATGAATATTAGTTAAAACGTTGTTGGTCAGTGAATTTTTAATTAATCTAACCATAAGAAGAGTATAAATCCAATGAAAATAATATTTTATATATTAAATTAAATTAAATTTGAAATTAGAGTGCTACGATAACTAAAATTAATATTTAGAATATTAAAAGAGGAAAATTGAATTTAGAATATAATTAAAAGTATCTACAATGTTTGGGTATTTTTAATGGTTTAGACGTGTTTACACGTGGCTTCTTATACTCTCGTGTCTCTGTTTACTTTTCTCTCTATTTTCCACGGCCTCCAGAAGCTTCCCAAAACCCTACTATAAACCCATCACAGCTCGTTCTTGCTGGCTATCACAACTAGTTCTTGTTGGCTATTCCCTGAGTTCACTTCTCTGTTCTCTCTCAAGCTTCTCAATCATGCATAGGCTGTCTAAACGCTCCGTTTCTGCTATCCTTCGCTCCGGTGGCCCAAATTACCGGAGAAGCGCAGCTGCGGCCCCGCTCTCCTGTCCTTCTCACTTGGCCGATTCGGTAAACTTTCCAACTCGCTACCACTTCTATTATTCGCTTATTATGTTTCATTTATCGCCTCTGAATCCTCGTTTGTTCCTTTTTTAAATGTACTCGTTGTCTGAAGCGGAGTGCGGATTATAATACTGATATATATTTTGAATTGTTGTTATTGATTAGTAGGTAGTTCTAGGTTTAGTTGATCTCAAATGGGGTAATAGTTGTTTGTGTACCGGTAATTTGTGATGCTCATATGTTTAAATAATTTGGGATTTACATAATTACTTTTGTTTGTTTAAATAATTTGGGATTTATATAATTACTTTTGTTGAATTGTTCCTGAACTTTTCAATGAGCTGACTTTCTAATTCTGGGGGTATAATCGATTATCAATTGCCAGATAGTTTATATATATATATATATATAATGAATTTAGGCAATGTAAATTTGCGAATTTGATTTTCTTTTCACTTGGGAAAATTATGCTGTTGTACAATTTTTCTCTTCTTTTGATCTTGAATTGACACATTGCTTTTATATTGTTGTGTTTATTAAGACATAAAATCCTTCTTCTGAATGTCTATTTTGTTCTGTTTATTATCTTACCTTTTACTTGAATTAAAAAGCTACTTAATTTATCTTCTGTCTTGGTCTTTGAGCAGGCTGTAGATGGAGATAATAGAGCTAGATGGTACTCGGTGTTAACCCCCAGGAATCTGATACCAAATAAAGCGGGCTCTTCAACTCATTTGAACCTGAAACATGGTTTGTTTTTGGGTTATCGATATGAGTCCACTGCAGCAGAATCCGATGCATCATCTTACCCACCGCCAGTGGGTGAAAAATATGAATATCAAGCTGAGGTATGACGATAATCTAACAGCAGATTTAATTCATTTTCTATTGAGTGAATCAAATGGTTTTAATTTGCTACTTTTTATTCATTACTGTTGACAGGTTAGTCGGCTCATGGACTTGATTGTTAATAGTTTATACAGCAACAAAGAGGTGTTTCTTCGGGAGCTTATTAGGCATGTTCTGATCTTTATTTCATTTCGCCATTCATGGAAGATTTTATGCTCTCCATTCATGAAACATTTCTTGTGGCTGGTGTAGATTATCAATATCTGAAATTGACATATAATTTGGATTTTTTTTTCTCTTTGTATCAATGTGGTTATAGCTTCAAAATCACAACCAGTTGAGCGAAGGTCAATTTATAAAGCAACAGATGAATCACATCTTAATGTTCTCCAGTTTGTATGTTCAATGTTGTATGTTCAATGCTAGATGCCATTTCTTAAATGATTTCTGTCATGAAAAGAACAAACTATGTATATAAACGCTGCAAAAAGTTATTAATGTAATTTTTGTTGTTTTCATAAAATTATATGTTTTGTATTTGATGCTGTGACATTAGGCCGAGTACCAGATTCCGTTTATGCTGTTTTGGATTGTGTGAACCATTGGTTTTCTCACTTTGGCAGCGAAATAGTAATGGTAAGGTTGATGTCTATGTAGAATCTGAGAACATACTGTATATCCGTGACCATGTCTGTTTGTTATTTTTTTTTTTTTTTTTTTTAATCTGAGGATAATACTGTATTATCCGTGAAGCATGTCTGTTTGGTTATTTTTTTTTTTTTTTTTGTTATAACAACTTTTTAATTGATTTAACAGACAGTGACACCTGTAATTGTTTGCTTATAGTGGAGCTTCAAGCTACATAAAAGAGAGATCATAATTTCCCCTTTTTTTCTTCATCTAATTTGAGTTTATATGTTTACATCCACAGTAATGCAAGTGATGCATTGGACAAGCTGCGATTTCTAGGTGTTACTGAGCCAGGGCTTTTGAAGGATGCTGCTGATCTTGACATCCGCATTCAAACTGATAAAGATGATGGGATTGTTACCATCACGTAAGCTGTATTAAGTCCAATTTTTTGTTTATTTTATTTTTTTTAGCTATTGATCTTCATTCCCATTAAGGTGTTCTAACGCACTGTCCTGTCATGCAGTGATACTGGCATTGGTATGACTCGGCAAGAACTGATTGATTGCCTTGGAACTATTGCACAGAGTGGAACTGCAAAATTTTTGAAGGCGTTGAAGGTCAAAAAAACGCCTTGAACTCGAAATTTATTGATTGGAGTTTCTTTTTTTTTTTTTTTTTTTTATTTTTTTTTTTTTTTTTTTTAAAATTTGGTTGAGTGTTTTTATGGACTTGAAAGTGGTTATATATCTTGTTGACAGGGATAGCATTTTTTTTTTTTTTTTTTTTTAAATTTTGGTTTGAGTTGTTTTATGGACTTGAAGTGGTTATATATTGTGACAGGATAGCAAGGATGCTGGTGCTGATAACAATTTAATTGGTCAATTTGGTGTGGGCTTTTATTCAGCTTTCTTGGTTTCAGACCGAGTATGAAGTCAACTGAAAATTGACAGCATTGTCTTGTTTACTAGTTACTATCGCATCAATCTCTCAGTTAGTAATTTCGTACTCCTTTTGACTGACATCTTGTTATTTGAAGGTGGTTGTCTCCACAAAAAGCCCAAAATCTGATAGACAATATGTATGGGAAGGTGAGGCCAATGCTAGCTCCTATACCATTAGAGAAGAGACGGACCCAGAGAAGCTGATTCCAAGAGGAACCCGCCTTACATTGTATCTTAAGGTTTAGCTACTTTATTTTGATGTTTGGTGTTTTTCCCTCACTTAAATTTCAAACCTCACCTTCTTTGTTTTATTTTTTATTTTTTGTACTTTCAGCATGATGACAAGGGTTTTGCAAATCCAGAGCGAATTCAGAAGCTTGTGAAAAATTATTCCCAGTTCGTTTCATTCCCAATATACACCTGGCAGGAAAAAGGATACACTAAAGAGGTAATTTTTTAATAAAGAAGAAAAGGAAAAAAAAAAAAAAGAAGCTGTTATCCAGAGTGAATTGCAGCCTGAAATTGCAGGTGTGGTACTTATGTTCCAATTGAGGCTGAGATTACATCCACCTAGTCACGACAATACAAACTTTTACTACTCTATATTTAAAGTAGTCACTTGACTTTGGGAATTGTCAATGTTTTGAATCTTTGCCATTTCACAATAATAAACTTATGTTTGTCATTGCTCTGTTATATCTTGGTCTTTTACAGGTTGAGGTGGATGAGGAGCCAGCTGAAGACAAAAAGGAAGAACAAGATAGCACAACTGAGGTATTTTGCATGTATTACTAATCATTTTATGATCCTTTGAAATTTAGATGTTAGCTTCTTTTGAATTGTGATTACTTGTTCTGCTCTTGTTGTTACAGAAGAAGAAGAAAACAAAAACTGTTGTTGAGAGATACTGGGACTGGGAACTAACTAATGAGACTCAACCATTGTGGGTGAGTTAAAAATCTAAATATTTGGATGTTGATGGTGAAACTTAAACACCATCCTTTTGGCAAAGGGTTCGACATCATTCTTTGGTATGTGCAGCTTCGCAACCCTAAGGAAGTATCTACAGAGGAATACAATGAGTTTTACAAGAAAACCTTTAATGAATACTTGGAGCCTTTGGCATCCTCACATTTCACAACGGAGGTAACGGTTTTAACTTCTTCACTGATAAACATTTAGCAGTTTCTTTGATTAAAGGTAATCTCTTCAGTACGAGGGATCTTGCTTTCTTCTACTTGTAGGAAGGGTGGTAATTATCTTAGGGTAAGAACCAAGGAAAATTTGATGACCTGAAGTTGATAGATAGGGGAGCGAGGAAAAGGACACCTTTCAATGTCCTTTGATATATTTGCTGACCGACTTCTACTACTGATTACATGTAGTTTGCTTTCCTGAGCTGTTGATGGTTTGTATTACAGGGTGAGGTGGAGTTCAGGTCTGTACTCTATGTGCCATCCATCGCCCCAACAGGAAAGGATGACATAGTTAATCCTAAGACGAAAAACATCAGACTCTATGTGAAGAGAGTGTTCATTTCAGATGATTTTGATGGAGAGCTGGTAAGCAAACTTTTTCATTGGGGAAAAAAAAAAATGAAGAGAGAGACCATATATGAACTTGCTTATGCTCACATCTTCCATTTTTGGTTGATTAGTTCCCTCGATATCTGAGCTTTGTGAAAGGTGTTGTGGACTCAAATGACCTTCCTCTCAATGTTTCACGTGAGATTCTTCAAGAAAGTCGCATTGTACGTATGTCCAGCGTGTATTTGTTATCTTGTAGCCAATGAGATGCTACATAACTGATTTTCTTCTTTGTTCTTTTCTTTTCTTTCTTTTTTTTTTTTTTTTTTAAATCATGGCTTTCTAATGATTTGTTTTTTTGTTTTCATTGAAGGTACGGATCATGCGGAAACGCTTGGTTAGGAAGGCCTTTGACATGATTTTGGGAATATCCATGAGTGAGAACAGAGAAGTATGTCCTTGTCATTTCATGGAGTTCACCAGCTTTACTTGATGAGAAACCTTGATTCCCCACTCTTAAAGACTTTCTGATAAGAGGATTTTTGTTTTTCTTTTCCTCCTTCAGTCCACCCCCCTTTTCCGTACAATAACTGTTGTACTTCTGTTGCAGGATTATGAGAGATTCTGGGATAACTATGGCAAGTACTTGAAATTGGGTTGCATTGAGGATCATGAGAACCACAAGCGCATTGCACCACTGCTTCGATTCTTCTCTTCCCAGAGTGAAGAGGAGATGATAAGCTTGGATGAGTATGTAGAGAACATGAAACCTGATCAGAAGCATATCTATTACATTGCTTCTGATAGTGTGACTAGTGCCAAGAACACACCATTCTTAGAGAGACTTGTTGAGAAGGATCTTGAAGTATGTGAAATGCCTTGTTGGAAAATCTAAGAACTTTTAATTGATTATTATCCTATATCCTCATGTAATAATGCATGAATGCCATGTTGGTATTTACTTCTGTAGGTGCTGTTCCTAGTTGATCCTATCGATGAGGTTGCCATCCAGAGCCTGAAGTCATACAAGGAGAAGAATTTTGTAGATATCAGCAAGGAAGACTTGGATTTAGGTTAGTTCTTATACATTTTATCAAAATTTAACTTTTACTATTGGATTTATTGCCTGTTACTCCCAGTCACCCCTGCATCAGTTGCTTTATAGTTGGTTCTGGTGTTGAATCTTAGTTTGCTAGTTTTTGTGATATGGACCTTGTACCAGACTTGAAAGGGAAGTTTTTCTCCATAATTGATCTTCATTGATGGCGGTATGATTTAAAATGTTTGACACTTCAGGTGATAAAAATGAAGAAAAAGAGAAGGTAATGAAGCAAGAGTTTGGCCAAACTTGTGATTGGATTAAGAAGCATTTGGGTGACAAGGTTGCCAGTGTACAAATCTCAAACCGCCTGAGCTCGTCACCTTGTGTTCTTGTATCTGGGAAATTTGGCTGGTCTGCCAACATGGAAAGGTAAAGTAACTTTTGTTGCTCATGAGGTTGTTGAAATTTACAATCTGTTGACATGATGGAATTTCTTTTAGGCTAATGAAGTCACAGACCGTGGGTGACACATCTAACCTGGAATTCATGAGAGGCAGAAGGGTGTTTGAGATCAATCCTGAACATACCATTATTAAGAACTTAAATGTATTATTCCTCCCTCTCTCTCTCTCTCTCTCTCTCTCATGCACATACACATGCACACGCATACACACAGGCACATGCACGCCGTCAATACTTCACGGGCTCTGAAATGGTGATTGGCTGAACTCTCTGTTTGTGCATGTGAGAAGGACCTCTTCTGAATCTTTTACTTTGCCTTTTAATTGCTTCCAGGAGGCATGCAGGGTCAATCCAGATGATGAAGAAGCCTTGAAGGCTATCGATCTTCTTTATGATGCTGCTCTAGTCTCCAGTGGGTTTACGGTAAGTGTTAATTTTATTGCCTTTTAATAATTAAAAGGCGGCAAAGAAAAAAAGAGGGGGAAAAAAATGTCAAATTGAATCTTGATTCTCTTTCTAGAGTTTAGCCATGCGAGTAATAAAAGTGACCATGATAAGAGCTTGAACTTTGCCTCGTTCATCACGGTCTTACTTATCCTTTGATTAATGCAGCCTGAGAATCCAGCAGAGCTTGGTGGGAAGATATATGATTTGATGGGCATGGCTATTTCAGGGAAATGGTCAACTCCTCAGATGCAGTACGAAGCATATTCTCAACCACAACCACAACCACAACAAAATTCTGAGACATTAGAAGCTGAGGTGGTTGAGCCAGTTGAAGCTGGTAGTCGCAAGTGAAGATGATGAGAGTTCACAATTTTGTTTCTTCATTTCCATGTTTTCAAACGCATATATAAGATTGAGGAATAGATTTAGGGCTTAGTCCATAAATGTATAACAAATTGGGAATCAATTTCCAAACTTTCCTATATTGCAGAACGCTTGTTCCTTTTCTTCTTTTTTTTTTTTTTTTTTTTTTCGCTTTTTTTTTTTTTTTTTTTTTTTTAAGTCTTCCCTTTTATTCTGCTCTCTCCAATTTCCTTTGCCCATTTTGCAAGACTAATTTATTGTCGTCTGAGCCTTGAAGCAAAACTGAATTGTGTGTTTGTTTTGTAAATTTGTTTTCTTAAGATTTAACAATTCCAATTGGAAAGAGAATATCAAAGTCTCATAAAGTGTTAAGCTTGATATTATAATGCTGTAATTTTATGCCCATTAAAGGGTGATGGGGTTGGGGATCACATCATATGCTTAAAAAGGCCTTAGTTTTTGTCGTCGGGTTAGGTCGTCATTTACATTAAGCTTAATTTGTTTGTATTTAGTGAAAAAAAAAGTGTATTATAATTATTTATCAATATTAATTTGATATATAATTAATGTAATATTTAAAACAATAATTTTATATTTTTTTATTATCTATTAAATGTTTAATCGAAGTAATTTTATAAAAAGTATTCACACAAATAAAAGCTTAGTATATTATTAAGAAGGCTGAAATTTGCCAATTTATTTAGATCGGAAAGAAATAAAAGATGAAAAATAATAAATTGAAATGAATTTTTTAAATTGAAGTGTTTAATAAATAAAAGTAAAAATTAGAATGCAAAAAGATTTTTGATGAAATTTGTGGAATGTAAAAGGTTTTTGACAAAATATACAAGGGGTAAATTCATGTATTGAGTGGGAATGAAGTCGGAAACATTCATGGAGTTCAGTCTCACTCTTTCCATCTTTTCCTCTCTCTCTCCCTTATAACTTTGGATAAAAAAACAGATATTATGTAAATAATATAATTAAGAAATCATTTATGGGATTACGAACCCTATAATTATAATTATCCCGGTTAATACGCTTAATTGCTAGTGTTAGAATTATTAAACTCCATACCCAAACCCAAATGGTGAAAAACCATTTTACATACAAAGTCAAATTATTCCGTTCGTAATTTGTACTTGTAGACCCAGTTTTGACCCCAACACTACATCCTTACGTTTGACAGGTCAGCTATTGGACAACGTTCCCAAATCCACAGACACGTAAACGCGCTTCGCCGGTCAACATAGATAACATTACCGGCTGAGCCGGTAGTTTCGGCTATGAAAATATTTTTTAAAAAAGGAAAATTTTCGAAAACGTACTCAACCCTCTTCTTACAATCCTTTTTGTCCAGCTTTGTCCCTGGTAGAGTCGCGGTTGTTTCTGGGTTTTGATCTCTTCTTCAGTCTCCACGCCTAGGGGCAAAATGGTCAGAAGTCCTCCTCTGTCTGCGCAAAATTGAACAATTATTCCATTTCCTTCTTCTTTCTCTTTCTGCTTCATCGATCCATCTTCCTCAGCTTGAATTTCTCAGGTCACCTCTCTCTATCTTTTTCTTTATCTCCTTTTGCTTCTGACTTCTGTTTGTTTGCTGAGAAAATACTGGAAAATTTGAAGAAATGTTTTTTTTTTTTTGATATTTTACTATTGTCGGTTTTAAGTAATGTGTACATATTGCTAAATTTATCTATCTGATCTTTGTTAGATCTTCTCTGGTTTTGATTGTTAATTTTTGGAAAAGCTCTTGAGATTCAAGCAAAATTTTATTTTATTTTTCCTTGTATTTTCTTAGTAACCAAACAGATCTCCTGTGCTTTTGTGTACTTATATTTTAGTCTATGTCTGATCTACCCTTGCTATAAATTTAGTAACTTCTGATCTTTCAAGTGTTCTCTTATGTATACTTCGATTGATTTTGCTTTTACTGCTACATGGTTAGAATTTTTTTCTTTTGTATGTGTGTGCGCGCTAATGTTTGTGTTGATATGTATTAGTAGCTGATCTAGTCTCCTTATGTTTGTGAGGTTTAAACCCGGAATTTTAGTTGAATTATGCGTTTGGGATATGAAAATGATCGCCGTTAATGTTCTCTAGTAAATTATGAGCATCTTGAACAATTTGCAAACAAAGATAAACTAATATACTTGAAAAGGATCATAACAATCAATTTCGTTAAATTGATGTGTTTGTGTGTGTATGATTGGATGGAACATATATTTATTGTTTTGTGGTTTGAAAATTTACTTATTCTTTTGGAGTAGATTATTCTGACTCTTTTCTTTTTTGTTTATTAATTTTCTATTTCTGTGGAATCTGTACCTTTTTTTTTTGGGTGGTAGTGGTATAGTAATGATTATTGAGTTCCATATTTTGCCGTGACAGGTTAAGCAATATAGGTTGATTTGATGGGTACATCATCTGGTTCTAACATACACCACCAGCCTTCATCCAAGATGTTGCCTCCGCGACAACAACCCCGCCAAGGAGGACTTCAAACATCCTTGTCCCTAGTTTCCTCAGATCCTCGCTTGTCTCCTGATCCCCAGGAACCGAGATCAAACTCAGATAATATTCGTGAGTCCCCTACTGAGAGTGCTAGTTCTAGAGAAACTTGGCCTACTGCTGATGCTGTTATGGCAAAGAAGATGGAGAATGGGAAAACAGAGAATGATTGTCCTGAACAGTCTGTCATTCGCCGTGTTTCTAGTGCTGATAAGATATCTCTTCGTGACATAGCAAGAGAACGGGTTGATGTCATTTCTGAAAAGATGCATCGTTTGCCTGATGAGCTTCTAGAAGAACTGAAGCATGGACTTCGAGTTATTCTTGAAGGAAATGGTGGTTCTCATCATAGGGAGGAATTTTTAATGTTGCAGAAGCTTGTTCAGAGTAGATCTGATTTGACAGCAAAGACATTAATTAGAGCGCATAGAGTACAACTTGAAATCCTTGTTTCAATTAATACTGGAATTCAAGCATTTTTGCATCCAAGCATTAGTCTTTCGCAAACATCCCTCATTGAGGTCTTCGTTTTCAAAAGATGCAGAAATATAGCATGCCAAAATCAACTTCCAGCTGATGATTGTACTTGTGAAATATGTACCAAAAGAAATGGTTTTTGTAATCTGTGCATGTGCGTTATCTGTAACAAGTTTGATTTTGAAGTCAATACTTGTCGTTGGATCGGCTGCGATTTGTGTTCTCATTGGACTCATACAGATTGTGCTATCCGGGATGGACAAATTTGTATGGGCCCATCTGTAAAGAGTGGACCTGGTCCAACTGAAATGCTTTTTCGATGTCGTGCATGCAATCGAACATCTGAACTCCTAGGGTGGGTGAAAGATGTTTTCCAACATTGTGCACCAGCATGGGACCGAGAGGCTCTAATGAGAGAACTTGATTTTGTGAGTAGAATCTTCCGAGGAAGTGAAGATAGTAGAGGCAGGAAACTTTTTTGGAAATGTGAGGAGCTTATTGATAAAATGAAGAGTGGGCTTGCAGAGTCAACTGCCTGCAGAGTAATTCTGATGTTTTTCCAAGGTACATATTTATGATTAGCACATGAGTACAAGGGCTATAGTTTGTGCACATTGGCTGAATGCTTGTTTCTAATTGATATTAGTTGGTGATAGAGTTTTTTCACTGCTTTTTGTCTTATTTTCACTGACTTGTTTATCAAATTAATATGAGTTTTATGGTCCACTTCTATTTTTCATTTTTCCCCCTTTTCTCCTGTGGTCTACAAATTTCAGGATTAGAATTACTTTATTGTAAATGGAGGAATAAAGTTTCACATGTGGAAGGGTGCTTCTGCATTGTCTAATTATGTGGAAGGGGCTTTATGGTTTGTGAGGGTAGCTCTTACAATCGCTATGTAATTTAGTTTCTCATTTTCATGAGAACCCAATTTGCTTGTTTTGTGTTAGTTTCTAGAGTCAGTGTGGTTGCATTTAATTTTCACGCTGTTATTGCATCCTTGATTCAAAATTGGTGAAGTTGATTGTATTATGTGCCTGAACCATTCTCTAAGCTTGTTGAAGTTTGATTTCAACTCTGCATTTTGTGCTGCATTTTGCTTTATTTCATCTTTTGATATGATCTTTACTACAACTTTGCATATCAGTTTTTATTATTTAACTGAACGGGCAGGCAATACCTAAAGGAATGCTGCTGAATTATTGGATTATTTATTTAAATCCAGCAGAAATATAAATCATGCAAATTAAAAAGTATTTATTTTGATTATTTATTTTGATTTACCATTTCTTGTTTTTGAAGAACTTGAGGTTGACTCTCCAAAGAGCTTGGAAAATGGGGAGGGTGGTAGGCTAATAGCTCCACAGGACGCATGCAACCGAATTGCTGATGTGGTGCAAGAGGCCATAAGGAAGATGGAGATGGTGGCTGATGAGAAGATGAGAATGTTTAAGAAAGCGCGCATGGCCCTTGAAGCTTGTGACCGTGAACTGGAGGAGAAGGACAAGGAAGTTGCAGAACTACAACTAGACAGGCAAAAGAAGAAGGTACAGATAGAAGAGCTGGAGAGAATTGTGAGGCTTAAGCAGGCAGAGGCTGATATGTTCCAGCTTAAGGCCAATGAGGCAAAAAGAGAAGCTGAGAGGCTGCAGAGGATTGCTCTTGCTAAGACTGACAAATCAGAGGAAGAATATGCCAGCAGCTACCTCAAACTTCGTTTAAGTGAAGCAGAAGCAGAAAAACAGTATCTATTTGAGAAGATTAAGCTGCAGGAGAGTTCACGAGCATCACAAAGCAGTGGTGGTGGTGACCCTTCTCAAGTGTTGACCTATTCCAAAATTCATGACTTGCTTAATGGCTACAATGGCCCCCCTAAGTCAGAATTGCAGCCAAATGATCGCCATCATTTCAGGACAAATCCTTGAGGAACTGCTTTCTGATTTGTTATATATTAAATTAATTATGCGATTAGGAATGTGACTCTCTTTGTGAACAAATGTGAATGAAATGCTAGTTGTTTCATTTCGTTGTTGAACTTTTAACTCACAGCTTCACTATTTGTAGGCATTAGCAATTAGAAAGCTGATATTAAGCGGTAAGTGGTTCTTTTTTTCGATATAGCCTTTCTGCATAAAGATGTATTATGCATTTGCAGTTTTTGCTTACTTAAATTCAACGGTCCTCTGTGAATGTACAACTGCGTGATGTCTGTGCAAACATAGTGTAGGAGCTTGTGTATATGATGGTGCGATTTCTATGCTCTCTTTTCTTTTTCCAGGACTTCTGTGTTGATAAAATGATTTATTGGAGATTAAGTGCAAGTACTGCTGCTGTAATTTTCTTTTAAATATATGCTATAGTATGTTTCACAGATTTCTCTATTCAACTAACAGAAAAAATGACAGGATTTTGCTACTCAATTATTTTACTTATTGCTTAAACCGGATAAAGTTCATAATCTGGAATTGAAGCATGCTACATTTTGAGGTTTATTGTGGGGCAGGGCTCTTCAAGAAATGAACAGGCAAAGATTTTCCTTTCTTGTGGTGTTTTCCAGAATCTGCAGGCCTTTGATTATCCTTACCTTGCCTTTGATCATCATCCTTGCCTTGCTTAACAAAAGAAGAGTTAACAGAATCAAACGTCATGGCGGTGCTGATTCCATGACATCTTATCAGAGAATTGAGACAGACGTTTGGAGTGACGACTCTTGCATTATTCACATACAGACCTGATCTTCCTCCATTGGAAATTCTAAGCAACCTGTTGGGAATACTTGAAGGAACTAAAGTTCCATCTGGAAAATGTAACAGGTGACTAAGCAATAATGCTCTTGGAATTGAATGACTTTGAATGAAGTCTTCTAAGTAGTCTAATCTTAGAGAAACTTTAGACAGTTCTTTATCACTTGGCATCAAGAATGTTATTTCGCCGTCATGGAGTGAATTTGGCGTGCTGTCCAGAATCTTGAGGAGGATTACAAATCCATAGTAAGATGATGCTCTCATGTCATCTATGGCTAATTGCAGGTCTGTCTGGTTGATTGGATGAGCGGATTCCGATTCTTTGATAAATAAGAATGGAAGGAGAATGAGGAACCAAAGAGCCATTTTGGAGTTATTTGGTTTTTCAGTTCTAACTACAGATATAAACTGAAAGGAGATCCATTGTAAGATTTATATCTACAATTTAAGTTTTTCTTTAATATCTTGTGCTCTTGAGATGGTTACATGCATTTTGTTCTTATAAGGTTAGTTGGTGGGTTCTTTGTGCATGATGAGGAAGTTGTGAAGGTGGTGTTTCCCATTTTTTCTTTATTATCTAATGTCTTGTTTGGATTGAGGATTTTTGAAATTCATAGAACTCATCAAAATCTTAATTTGAAATAAGGATTTGAAGATCGCGCTTTATCATTTATTACATTCTATATCACCAACCAAACCATAAAATTAGGCTAAATCAATTGATTGTTTGAATTCTTTCATCCAAACATTGCCTAACAGACAGTATATTTCTTTGCCATTTTTGAACCATTTGCATTTCAAGAATCAACTAGGAAGAATAGTACTATAATTGGTGCTGAGCTTTCACGTGAATTCTTCACAATATTACTGTATTTTACAAAATGAAATCATGTGAAGCATTACAATATCTCATTTTTTTTGATATTTCACATTAGACCATCTAAGTTGATTCTGTATTTAAGGATTTTAACACTATTAGATCTCACCTCAACTTCACTTCTTGTTGAGGTCAAAATCCCAATAAATGTATTTTATCTTACTTTTGCTTAACCTAATCCCCCTGCTCTCAAGAGTGCTTCTCCATAACTTCTCTAGTCTCATTGATTAAGACACTATCATTTACAAATAGTATATACTTTGAAACATCACATTATACACTATTAGTTACCACATCCATAATTTTGATAAACAAGTATGGGTTCGAAACAGATCTCTGATATAGTCTTATAATATCTACCTTGTTCTTATATATAGGAATCGAAGTCCTTTTTTTGAAGGAGAAATAGAATTTGCATTTCGAAAGAGAGAAATTGACGAGGAGAAGCGAAGATTTTGTCAATTATGAAGAGTTAATATCGTCATTTTATTTGCCATCTAGTGGAAATAAAGTTCATTTTGAACAGAACGAGGTGATTATATGATAATTGAGTTAGCGTTTAAACATAAAAAGAGACATGTTAATTTATCGTAATCTAAGAATATGTTTTTTTTCCTCCAAACTCAAATAAAAAAAATGAAATATATCAATTTATTGATTTTTTTTAGTGGGTTTATACATTATGTAAATCCAAAAATGAAAATTGACATAAATAAATAAATATATAAATATATTTTTAGGAAAAAAAATGGAAAAAAAATAATACTAAAAGGTGATTTTTTTTAAAAAAAGTAACTAACTGCATATATGAAAAATTGAACATGGTAACATGTTTTCCTTTTCTGATTAGATATGTATAATAACCAAAACTCAATTATGTATGTGGATGTATTTGTTCTTTGGTGGATAATAGGGAAAGGGCTATGCCTTGTTCTGTGATTCCAAGAGATAAGGACCATTGGAAGTTGGAAAGGCTTCTCAAGTTTTTAGTCTTTAGAATACTATTTTATTTTTTGCTAAAAAATTAATTATTGTTATTTTTTTTTTTTTTTATCACATCATGCACCCAATGAAGGACAAAATAGAATATATATCAAATCCTATGGATGTAGGAGTCTTGCATGCTTGACCAGAAGATTGTTGTTTAGTGGCTCAGGACACAAATAGAAGATTGTAAGATCCTAATGCCAACCTTTTTCTTTTTGTAGTTTATTGATTTCCATCTCCCCAAGTGATTGCTACACCAACCTTACTAATTTAGGTCAAATTTTTTCAATTCAATTTTTAAATTCAAATCTAAAATCCCTTTTATTTTTCTTATAAATTTACTTTTAGAACTGAAATGATTTTTTGTATTGATTCATCCCAAATTTTGCTAAAGAACTAAACTATAGATTAGTTTGAAAAAAAAAATATTTATCGAATATAACAATTAAAAGAAAAAATATTAATATGATTTTTGATATAATAATATTGAATTTTATATAAAAATATAAGATCACAATAAGTTCAAACCTCGAACAATTAACCCATTAAAATAACAAAAATTACCAATTTAGTTTGAATATATGGTTAATATTGAGATAATTTTGCAAATAAGAAAATGTTACATGATTATTTTTTCCATTAACTAATCAAAAGTGTTAATTTTATTATGAAATCTTCTAAGTAAGCTTGTTAGAGAATCCCATCATTAGGGGAAAAATGTGTAATTGATTTATAACCTTAATAGATAGATATATAGATGTAAACTTGAAGAAATGGTTTAATTTCTCAAACTTATTATAAATATAAGTTTTTGTTTATTTATTTTTTACTCATTGAATGTTAAATGGACCAAAATATTATTGTGGTTATGTAGCAAAAGAGTAGTCGACTTCACTTATATCACCAAACAAAATGTATGTTAATCTTTCGTTAAATATATATTTTACGATATAAAAAATTTAAATTCAAAATTTTTCACTTCTTATAAAATATGGGATAAAAAGAGATTAATCAGAACACATGCAAATAATATATAAAGAGCAGAAAATTTACATGATTTAATAATAATTGCATAGTATGATGTAGAAAAAATATATGATAAAGTGTAGTAGTCAACATCAAAGAAGAAGGTGAGGGTGAGTGAGAGGAGTTGTTTGAAAGGAAAAGTTGTTAGGTAAAGAGATGTGATTGTGACCCCATCTTTGCTTCTTAGATGTCTCATCTTCTACTTGCTACCAACTCCTCCCATTACACTTTTCTTTTCTTTCTAACATTTCTGATACCTCTAAATGAAACAACATAACATTGCTAAACCTTCTTAATGATCCTTTCAAACATAATAAAAAACTCCATCACTTTGCTCTACCATATCTTAAATTACCCTACCTTATTTTTATAAACCTTCTCTCATCTTATCCAAATATCGCATAAGTGTTCGTAAATTCATGAAGAAAAATTAAAATTACGTTTCTATATTATATCAAAATTTATTACTTCATCTTTACTTTTTTTAAAAATACACCATTTCATTCTTGATATTTACTTCTGTGAACGAAATATTCTTTCCGTTCACATTTTTAAACTTTTTGTTAAAATAGTTTATGAAAAGTTAAAAGTATCCTCACTAAGCCTCATAAAAAAACAAACCTATTTTAACAAAAAAAAAAAAAAAAATAAAATAGTTTTTATTTGAAAAGTTTTAAAAGTATCCTCAACTAAGCCTCATTAAAAAAAACAAATCTCTATTTTAACAAAAAAAAAAAAAAAGTATAAAAAAAAAACAAACCTATTTTAAAAAAAAAAAAAAAAAAAGTATAAAAAAGTGTACGGAATAACTGAACTGTTGACGGAAGCACACATTAGAGACTAAATAGTGTATTTTCAAAAAGCTTGTCCAGTATGGTAGTTTTATGATTTCATTTCACTAAATATGTGTATTTAAGTGATGATTATCATATTCTAGCACATAATATTTAGTCTTTCATTTAAAGATATAATTGTACAACAAAATTAACTAATTAGGTAAATAGATAACCAAACAGACATCATTTTCAAACTCACTGCTTGCTTTCCTAAAAACATAATAGATTAGATTAGATTACTAAAATTGTTTTAAGCAAAATTAGATCAGAAATCTTTGTTTTCTTGTTGGTTTCAGCTTCAACATTCTCTCAACATTACTAAATCAGAGACAGCCAATTATTTTTCTAGAAACACACTAATGTCCAACCAATAATTTTATGCATGTTCTCTAACTCAAATAAATTCACTTATTTGAACTTTTTTTAAATTATTGACTCATAAGGTCATGTAGTTTCATGTTGCATGTATAAATTTTATTTTATTTTATTTGCATGTGTATTTTCTCAGTCGGGCGGACGAGGGTATTCAGATAAAGCTTTCTAATGCTTACACCTCTAATCTTATACATAAACTTAGCTTGAGAATATTGTTCACTTCTGCTAATTTAACTGATTCTTTGTTTTATTTTAAGTTTTAATGCAAAAAAATTTTCTTTATTTAATTTTTAGATGATTTTTAATGGTTATAGTCTCTATCATATACGTTTGAGTTTAACAAAGGTTAAATTACTGAAAAAAGCTTCAACTTTAATGTTTTTGGCAAATTTAGTCGATATTTTTAATTTTATCCGTAACTACTTTAAACTTATTTTTCCTTATCAATTACAGCTTTCATTTTAAAATCTGTCAGTTTGTTGCTTATTTGGATGAGCAATCTCCTTCCCATCTCATTGCATGCTTAAAATGATTTGGTAAGAATTTACAATTAACAGACTCTTGATTAACTTTTAACAAGAAACTGGCACCATCAGTGACCCTAAGGTTTGCCAAGTAAATTTCTTCGCTTTTAGAACTGTATCACTCAATCTAACTCTAAATGGATGCCAAAATTGATAAAAATAAATAAATACAGGGTATTGATTGATAAAATTAAAATATTGGTCAAATTTGAAAAGAAAAGCAATAAATCAGGCTTTTTTTTTTTTTGGTAATTCGCCTTTAATAAGATCATTTGATATATAATAAATTTTTTTCCTAAAGTTTACAATTCAGATTTATTTTCAGAATTTACTTCATAACATAACCTTCAAGTTATGCAGATTAAAATATAACTTAATTTAAGAAATTAGAATTTGATGAAAATTTTATAATTTTGTTTAGGTCAATAACAAAAATAAAGGAATAAAAATTTCTCAAATAAATGGCAAAAAATAAATTAAACTAAAAAAAAAAAGAATCATGTGTTTTTTTAAAAAAATTTATCATCGTTACTCTTAAAAGGAGATGCTGTTAAGACTGCTAGTGTTATGACATCTTTCTTTAGCATTAAAAAAAGGTAAAGGCTTAAATAATTAATATAAAAATCATATAATAAAAACAAGCTGCGATAAATGATTTGTAGGGAGACTTAGGGGAATCTTTTTCATCTCTCTTTCCCCACCATATGCTCACATTGCCCTTCCCATTCACTAATTAATATTTTTATACAAACCCTTCACTTTCTAATTTTTTATTTTTGAAATAAAATTAAAATTGTAGCTCTCACCCTAAAGGATTAAATAA